GCAGGTTGCATGTAGAAAAACAAACCAAAAGCACGACCCCTGGAGCCACACTCAACATTTTTTAGTTGTTCTGGCTGCATGTGCACATAGCTCCTCAACCAGGGGAAGGGGGTCCTGCTTGCTACCCACAAGCTGACTAGCTGTTTTAACTGAATTATTGGACTTTCCCTGTAAATAAACAGCATGTTGAGTATCTCACTCCCCGCCACATTTGGAGGCATCGTGCCACCCCTGACCAAAAGAGGAAGCCAAAATGATAAACACAAGAGGCACGGTAACCTAGTGAAGCTACACTAAAGCTTTGGACTATGCGTCAAAAAACCAACATACTTCACTTTGAAGCACTGTTTTGATGCTTGGCTCATTTCCCAAAAACACTTCATTTAATACATGACCATGTATCTGCTACAGAAACAGATTCAAAAGAAGTGAATCCAAAGGTTTCAAGCCAAAAACCAAACACTTGTTCCCACACCTACGCCCATGAAACGATGTAAATAACGTTCTGCACCTGCTCAGTCAGGAGGTTTGCTATAAATAGCAGCTTTTCTCAAAGCATCTTCATAATTAACATAGTCAAACAACGTGATTACAGCATTATTGACTTCACTGCTTTAGAAATAAATAATGTTTACAAAGAACTAGATGTAACAGATTTGAATCATTTAATCTAGTACAGGGGTCGGCAGCATGCGACTCTTTTACTGCCCTGTTGTGGCTCCACAGCAGAATTAGCCTCCTTTGCAGTAAAATAAAGCTCTGCTGATCATTCAACACAGTTTAACAATAAATGGTCTTAAACTCTGGAGTTAATGTAGAACTGCTAATTCACCCTTTAACCCTGAAGATCAGCGCAGACTGCTAGTCACCATAGCAACACAGACTAGCAAGTAACTAACGAAAAGGCAAAAAGAAAGATTTTTCATAATAATTCAGAGACGAATTGACTTATTTGCATTTATAATCACTCCAGCTGGTTTCCTGATACGTTTAATCTGCAGTGAGAAACTGAAACACTAAAAAGTCATGAAGCTAAAGTCAGTCTCTTGTCTGAATTCTCCCATTCCACCTTAAATGGTGCAACAGTTACATTCTGGTGCCTCAGCATTTAAGGTGGAACAGGAAAATTAAAACAAGAAGCGAATTCCAATACAAATTAAAGGAGCTTCACTGCTTCAGAAGGCTTTGTTTATCCATCATTAGCTAGAAAAAGAACAACAGGTATCCACTGACATAAGAGATACAAATGGCTTAGAAATGTGCAGGTAAACCTATACAGCAGCTCCAAATTTCAGCAAATCTGTGATCATTTTAAGGCCTTTAAACAAAAAGGTCTGATTTGTTTTGAGTCTTATTCCTTCCATCGAAGCTCATATTCAGACGACTCTCAGGTGGATAAGACGATTTTTTAAGTTTATCAACTTGCAGGCATTTTCAACTTGCATGCTAAAGGGGTTCACATACCAAACACAAGAAATTCAGGTCAAAATTTTAAAGATTTGGCTTTTTACTTGAATAATTATACCAATGACAGAATTTGTAATGAAAAATTTTTATTAAATTAGAAAAGAATGAACAATAGCATTTCCACTAGTGCTCTCAGAATCTTTGGACCTCTGTATACGTATATATAGCTCTGTAACTTAAATCTACAAAGTGCTTCTATATGGTAGACGATTCTGATAAAACCGCAACTTAGGGTATATTTAAGAGCAGTTCACCTCCATCTGGGATCATTTTTACAGCATGTTCTACCCTTCGTTGGCCCTTCCTCCATTAAAAACAAAGGTAAAGTGAATCTTCGTAAGTTGCAGCTGAGAAATTCTGCTCCACAGCTCTTATTGGAAGCTGCTAAATTAAAGATGTAAGCATGACAACCAAGGTGCACTCTGTAGTAGACTCTCTATCTCCTAACATGCTTTTAAAATGCACTGTACTGGCAGTGATTTCATTCGTTGGAGGCACATATATAAAAAAGAACCTTGGCTCTTTTCAGAAAGCCAGAGAGGGTGAGGTGAATCGGTGCGGGCGCGTGTGCGGGCGCGTGAATGTTCTGTATGGATGTCCTTGCTGCTCTACAGCTGCAGAGACAGAACGCAAACAAGTCAATAGACTCAATGGAATTTCTTCCCCTCGGTATTCTTAAGAGCGTGAATATTGAGTGAGGCCGACGTTGCTGGGAAAGCACTTTTCTCTCAACGTCTGAAGCCAAATTAATGGCCAAGGTGAGGCAACAAAGACGGCTAAAGCCTGCATTAGCTCCGTCTTCCAAACACGTCTCTATTTAATTAGCTTACGTGAACAGAAAGGATGCACTCTAACTAATCCTCCAGGTACATGAAGAGGAGAAGCAGAGTCGAGCCTCTAACCAGCTGATTTCAGTTCGGAAAACGTTCCCCCAGTGTTTCATTTTGGTTGTAGAAACACTGATTTACAATGTCTGTTCTTTTTTAATGTTCCCAGAATCTTTAGAACAGCATTACATATAACATTACCTCAGCCTCATGTGCACCAACTAATTAACATTTGAGGAATGATGATCTATAAAAACACAGTTTGGGTGAATATTTTAGAGAACATTAAGACCAGTGAGAACGTTAATTTTTCACTGTGAAAGAGATCTAGGAACATTCATCTAAGCTGAGAAAAATGTTCTGGGAACATAAGGAACACTAGACATTTTGCATGTTCTAAGAAAAATGTCTTAAGAACATAACAAACTGGGAACAGTTCCAAATCAACATTTATAAAATGGATAGTTCTGGTCCTAAATCTGATTGGCTGAGCTGCATTTGAAGCCATTGTAAAATCCACTATATACACATACCTATGACCGAAAAACCCTTCTGAATAATCTTTGACTCTAATGCTGCTCACACTCGCACTGAGTGTACTGATGAAGTTAGAACTCGTTTTTTGTTCAAACTGAAAACTGAGAACTTAACTTGAACTAGGCTGGTCAGCTAGCTAACAGGCTAAAAGATAGAAAACAGCCTAAAACAACTCCATCATTAAAAGTCTAAAAATGTCTCTTGACGCTTCAAATGTTTGTGTTTCAGTCAGAAGTTGTGTCAAACCCAGGCTGAATCCCAAACGGCTCTGTATTCCCTAAATAGTGTTCTAACTATGAAAGTTTAGAAATTGTAGCCTCTACAGCCAAACAGGGCATCATTTATCAAGTGTGGATGTGTCTGAGTCCCAAATGACTATTTCTTAGCTGTATTATTCATTGTTGGGCTGCAGGATCTAGTATTTAAACTCCTACGTAGTGCACTATGTAGGGAGCAGGGAGCCGTTTGAGATTCAGCCCCAGTGTGAAAAGAGGGCGCCACTGGATAGGTGCTAAATAAGACTAGTGGTGGTGACTACAAAGTACTTATAAAAAGAGAAAGTTTTTGCATTTAATAGTGCTATGATATCATATGTTCATTGTTATATGGTCAAAAAATTTAAGAAATGACTGCAGTGGACAGTGATGGACAATGTCTAGAAAGAAAAACCTCACAACAAAATCTGTTTTGCAGACAGATTGATCACAGCATGAGTGATGTGTGGTTTTAACGTAATTCTTCTGATAATCACTGTATTATTAGAATGTGTCTGTAATCTGATTATGTATGTAACACATATGTGCTTATGAGCCAACACTGAGAGTATACTGAAAATACATTCCATTATTCAGGAATATACTGTCAGCCATACTGCAACATGATCCTCTGGGAGTCCACAGTTTTGGACTCAAGTGCACATCAGTCTCTCCAAATCCATATTATTTTCTCTCTGTCTTTCTCTGTGTGCGTTTAATCTGTGATTAGTGTCAGTAAAGCCTCCTCACTAAGACAGGTCAGTTTACTGAGCTCTGAGGTCTTCAGGCTCCATAGTCATGGAGCGGAGCAGGCTGAGAACAGCCCTTTAACTCTCGTCTAAACTGCGTGGGCCAATCTGTTGGTTCAGGTACATTTAGCTAGCCCCACTCTCTCAGTGAGCAGAGTGCTGAAGAAGCAGGGGGAACAGCTGTTCTTTCATTTTTCCTCCTTTATTTCTTATCCTTCAGCTTCTTTTTTTCCACAGTAGCATGAATTTTCAGAACGCTTACCAGGCTCCTGCTTCGTTTAGCAGCCACAGAGCGGACCTGAAGCAGCTGGAGGCTCATTTAGCCCCCCAGAGGAGGCCCTTTTGAAGGGGAGAACATTGTCAGTAGGACTGAATACTGGCAGCAACTTCACAATGTGACAAACGTTATGATAATATGATCATCGTTATCAATAATCATCAACGTTCAGTTGACTTACTCATTTCAAAATAATGCCTGAATTCCTAAAGGCAATGTTTTCCCAGCTGCGAATAGCAGCACTTACTCATAAATTCAAGGGCCCAAAATCATGGAAAACATTTTTCTTAGTGTTTTAAAGAGTTTGATGTCGTATTTAACACACTGTTAAAATTTCAAAACACACCGTTCACTCTGCACAAACTACACCACAAAAACAGCCCATTTTGAATTTTGAATGTTGTTTTGGTGATGTCACAAAAATCAACACAATTCCATACAACATACAGCAGTTTAGCCCCGCCCATTAAGCCTACAGCAGTTTAGCCCCGCCCATTCAGCCTACAGCAGTTTAGCTCCACCCATTCACCCTACAGCAGTTTAGCCCTGCCCATTTAAGGGGATAAGGGATAAAGAGTGGTTGGAAAATGGTATAATATGTAAAAAAAATCATTAATTATTATTACAAAAATGCACAAAAATGTTATAAGAAAATATAAAATACAATGAACTGCATCACTAGTATGATACAGTGATAATAACTCTATGTGGAAATAGTTTATATGTACAGTGTTTTACTTTTTTCAGATATTGCAAAAACCTAAAATATCACAGTGTGTCTCTGCAGGACCATTCAGCCTGAATTAGAGTGCTATATGAATGAAGCTAAACTGAACTGAGAAACTGTGAGGAGTTAAGCCGTCAGGTTTGTGGAGAGCTGTGTATCTACCTTGTCCTCCGGAGGTTTTGCTGTTGCCGCCCACTGCGCCGGATCCCTGCCTCTGTAAAAGAGAAAAGGGTTCAGTAGCTCTTTAATACACTGATCAGGGTATTACAGTAAGTCTATCTAATCAGATATTACTGTCCACTCGCTGATGCAGTTCTGCTCTCTCCCTGTAATCTAGCAGATAATCTCTCATGAATAATAATAAACCAATCAGCCTCAAATCCACCTGTTCATTTGTGCGAGTTCAGGAGAGTGCAGAGCACGAAGTATGATCTTTTTTAATCATCTAACTAGTTTGTACTGTTTGTACTCAGAGGCCGGTTCTCTTCATAACGAGACAGGAACTGGTGGTCATGATGAAACACCCACACTTACTGAGCTGAACGTGCAATGAACGATATAAAATCATCACATTAAGATTACGTGGCTTTATTGGCATCTGCAAAGATCTGCTGATGAAACTCCAATATTGCTGGAAGCAAACAGGCCACCAATTTCAGGAGGACCCAGAGACCGGTTCTCTGGACTGCTCCCAGGCTCGAAAAGAGTTTCACACTCGGCCAAACGTACTGAACTCACAGAGCAAGCGGCCCTGAGTAAACAGCTCTAGTGTGTGGTGGGTTTCGTCGCTCAATGTGACCAGAAAACGCCTACTTTTACAGAAAGGGGCCGTTCGACTGACATACACTATAGCCAATCACAGATCATCGCTTATGTAGGACATGTCACTCTTATAAAAGATGGTTCTTCAAGGGTTCTTTAGTAAAGAAAATGGTTCTATACAGATAAACACTCAAAGAACCATTTAAGAACCCGTAAAGAACCATCTTTTTTTAAGAGTGACGTCATACACAAGCAGTGATCTGTGATTGGCTATTGTGTATGTCAGTCAAACGGCCCATTCCTGTAAAAGTAGGAGTTTGCTGGTCACATTGAGCGACTTATTCCATCACACGCTAGAGCTTCATGCAAATGGTTCTTTGAGTGTTCATGGTTCTTTATAGAACCATTTTCCTTATTAAAGTAAGTAAGAAACATCTTTTTTGAGAGTGGGCTACAGCAAAAACACACTCGTGTGAAACAAATCGGTACGACTACCAGCAAAAACAAATTATAATGTTATAACGCAAAAAAATCTGTACGGAAAGAACTCCTGTACAATAAGAAACATAAGAGCTGATGAAGTAACAGAACTGCTTAGAGCTGAAATCATGTATGACTGACAGTCACAGGTGATCATATCAGTCAGTAAAGCTCTAATCAACTTAAAATATTGTCTCCTTATTTTTTGATAAGTTCATCATCAGCTGATATTATCAATTATCTGAATTTTAGGCTTCTTAAAATTGATATCAATATCGATAACAATATATTCTATCAGTACTGACATCACTGATGAAACATGAAGAGATGGTTTTACTTCTACTCTACTGTCCCACAATTTAGAATCACTATTTTCAGTGATAAAACCAATCTGGCTGCAGAAAAATGTACAAATGATTGCTAATTGAAACCTAACAAGATTCAGATAAACAATATGAAGCTGTATAAAAAGTAGAGCCGTTAGATGAGTCCAGAATGATGAACAGAGCTGTAGAAGAGTCTAAAACGACAGAGAAAGCTGCAGAGGATCAAGAATGAAGTTGTAATAAAAGTTAATATCCTGAATTGATCATATTTCAAACACATACACACACATATTAATGCAGTATATGTTACAATATTGGTAATTGCTATAAGGAGAACCAATATATTGTCATTTTTTGTGAACCACCATTTAATATTGTACACTATAAAATTTTATATACATATTTTCTCTGAATCCATGTGCGGTTTGACCTTAAAGTGGGATTAAATCTCACTAAAGACCATAAGTGCGTGGTCTTAGTGCTCTGAACACTTGGATTAGAGCAGTGAAATATCAGCAGTACTGAGTTCTGCTGGCTTTATAAAACGCTGTCCACTGCACTTTCCACTCTCAGTCCACGACAGATGGACTTCAGAAGGTCAAAAGCAGGACATCAGTCCACAAAACTCAGCCCAGCTCACTGACTCACCGCAGAGCTCTATTCTTAGAGTAACACAACACTAATTTAAAGGGTGACGCCATGGAAAACTCAGAATTCTTCACTTTTTAAAATTAGTTTGATGGAGTATGTAAACAAAGTTTAAAAATGCACCAGTCCATATAGGATATACATGGAAAGTAGGCCTCAAATTTAAATTTTCAAATTTAAACCTGCCCCTTTTTGAAATTATTGGTATTGTGATGTCATAAAACCCAACATATTAAAATAAGACCACCCGGAGCAGTTTAGCCCCAAAAGATTTACTCATATTGCTGCTGTTGAAACAAAACCTCGTATCTCCATTTTTTTGTTTTTCAGTTTTTGACATAATCTGAAAATGCCTGTTGACTTTTACATTGTGTGTTCATGATGAATGGACCAACGGAAACGGCCCAAAACCACTTGGAAAAAATTCTGGTTTGAAATTTTTTGGTACAAAGTTTTGTTCCGTTAACAGCGATATATTGGTTTTCCAAATATTTTGCTTATTGTTGGAAATATTTTGAACAAAGAATGTTTTAAAAAACAATGTGTAGCATTGTATTGTTGTTTTAATGGAAAATGAGATATCAATAATTTTTTAAATCCTTTTCCTGGACTGTGGCTTCACAATGAAATAAACATTTTAATTCTAACATCATCAAAAGCAAGGCTTTTGTTTAAAAAAAAAAACAAAACAGCAAATTTATGCATTTATAAATCTACATTTTTGCAAAACTTCCAATACAAGAAATAATTCTAAGTAAATCAAACAAAGATGGCAAAGATTCATTGTAATATCCATTTTATTTTGAATTACGCTTGAGCATCTAGTGTCTCACATTAAGCCTTTAAGACTGATATATGTAAATGAGCTCTGTTCTGATTGGCTGCCCTGTATTTGCCTCACACAGAAAGCAGTCCAGGCTGAAACACTCCTTATAACTTCACTCTCAGAATAAAGGTAATAAATTGTCACTGGTTCAGTGCCCCTCATGTCACTGGGGTGGTTCCCTCAAGGGTCAATCTCAGTACCTTTAGTCAGGGAACATAACTGTACCATAATCCACTGAATTGATATTTTCTAAGCTGTACTGACTCCACACACCCCGTCTCGTCTCCAGGCTTTTTATTTTATTGCTCTGTTTTAAAACATTCGGTTATGAAAAGGTACAAATACGAACTTTTCACCTGGAAAAACTTATTTAAGGTTCACAACTGGACCTTAAAACCACAGTTGTACCTTTGAGGAAACATTTACATTGTTTGTACCTTGATTAACGATAAACGTTCCTGCACAGAACCTTTATTTCTAGCAGCGTACGGTGTGAAAGGGTGGGGCAAAATTGACGTAGCGTTGTTTTTTTTGTGACATTACAGAAACAGTGTATCCTGTATGTATCGGGGAGTGGACGATTTAAAACAAGCAACACATAATACAATAAACTTAGATTTCAAAACAGTGAAGAAATTTCTATGAAATGGACTTGTATAACGTTGCACTGTACAGGAGGAAATTCAAGGTGAATTGGTTTTACACGTTAAGTAAAAATGTGTAGAACTTGGATAAAAGTTTGTCATCAGTTCTCTGTGTTTAATGGTTTATTGCCATCTGCTGTGCAACGTTTTAAGAAGGTTTGACATTTTCTTGAAGTGACTGAATAAATGCAGCAGGGAAAATGCTTTCCCGTTATTTAGGTTTTATGCGAGAGGTTTAGTAACTCAGAATAAAACAATAAGACTACAGATAAACAATGTGGCTTTTGGACACATCTACCACGGTTGTGACTGCAAGACATTTCACAAAAGGACCACAGGAACATGGATTTGGGAAAGTGTCACGGCAGAAGCAGAACACACCTCCGATGATTTGTTAACACATGCCAACTAGATTGAAGCCACCTTTAAACCTGGGCTCATCCAGGATTTGAACCTGGGACCTCTCACATTTCTATGAAATGGACTCTTTAATGGACTCTAAATGAAAGCATCACCAATAAAGAGTGTCTATTAGAGTTCAGTTCAGCCCAAATCTAGTGAAAAACGCTAAAACGGTATAACAGTAAATGTGATACTGTGGGCCATATTCAGCTGTGAATCATTCCCTGTAACAGAGTGATGAATCTGCCCAGCACCACTGAATCTACAGAACACAGAGGAAGATGATTAGCTTTTTAATGACGTGTCCAGGTGGCTCCTGCTCGCTAAGCTAATTTAACACTTGCATTGCTTTTATAATTAATGTCCCCGCGGCCGCACGCCGGATTGCTTCGTAGCCCATTAATCTTCCAGCGGACAATAAATAGCTTCTTGTACTCAATCTGTGTTCAATAAAGAACGCTGAGAAAACCAATTCCAGGACTCTGTCTCATCGTCAGCCATTACATCTGAATTCATTGTGTAAGCACATGATTCAAAACAGCAATGAGTTCCAGGAACGCTGTGGAGATAAAGGGAGGATATTAAAGGGCAGATGCACGCTGTGCTGCAGCTGAGGCCGTCCTTTAAACGTGTTATCATCATTTTCTCTCGGTCTTCTGTAATCGGCTTTTCTACATTTAAATAAATCTTGGATGTGCTTTGATTTTCTGCATGCGTGGACGATTTGATCAATATTCTATTAATGCTAAACCTGCTGACTGCTACAGTCAGGCTCTCTCGCTTTTACAGGCCCGTACTTTGACCGTTTTGCTGTTCAGTCGTCGAGCTTCAGCAGCTGATCTCTTTAAAACAGCAGAGGTCAGTGAGTGAAATCCAGTGGCTTAGTGAGGAACATGATTCTGATCTGAAATGAAGAAGATGTACGTTATTGAGTTTCTGAATAAATCTTCTCTTTACACTCTCAGAAATAAAGATACTAAACTGTTACTGGGTCAGTTCCCCTCTCAGAACCCTCAAGGGTCAATCTCAGTACCTTTAGTCAGGGAACATAACTGTACCATAATCCACTGAAACGATATTTTCTAAGCTGTACTGACTCCACACACCCCATCTCGTCTCCAGGCTT